GAACAGGAAAGAGCCAAGATACTGGAGAAACAGAAGAAAGCTGAGAAGAGCGAGAAAAGACAAGTGAAGAAATATGTCTGTGTAATGATGGTTTGTGCTCTAGCGACAGGAGGAGTTTTGGTGTGGAGGAAAGACTCTTTACGTAGATGGGCATTAATGAGGGGTTTCATCATTACAGCAGGATCAGCAACTGCAGGACTTTTTACTGGGATTTTCTGGAGTTTGATGTGGAAGAGTCTGTTTGTGAAGGTTTTTTCATCTCATGAGCGTCCCAGTGCTGTTAGACAGTTATTGCTGAAGATAGCAGGAGTCATGCATGGTGGAGCGGTTGCTGGAGCTATAATGCATCACTTTGTAGGAGAAAATCTGCTTCTTTCTGTGTTATCTGGAGCTGCTGGAGCTTTCATATCAATACAGTGGAGTTCTTAATTTTATTTATTATTTTAAATTTTAGTTACCAAAATGTTGATTGATATAAATATTATGGGATCAAAAAGTAATATTATGCAATTATGCCACTGGTGTGTTACCAATAGTATCCTCTTTAGTTTAAGAGCTCGGTGTGTCATGTGATTCGTTGTGTGGCTTTATTATAATGTAATATAAATTAAAACAAGTGAAACTTCAATTAATAAAATCTGTAAGCTTTTATCTTGACTGCCTTGTTTACTTCTCCGTGAGTTTGGTGTTTAAAACATTAATTTGATACAATCCAGTTGGAAATGTGCACTTTTAACATTGCCAATTCATGATTTAATTTATGGAAGTTATGTTTACAAGGTAAAAATTTAAACAAATGCCTTGTATATTCACTGTAAATATTAAATGTTTGGGTTCAACATAAATTAAAACTGTAAAAAAATAAAACAATTCTTTATATTAGGTATAATTTGTGTGTGTAGGTACAAGTTATCAAGGTTAATAAAACATTAATGTTACAAAGATTAACCAGAAAGTAAACACTGAATATTTGATCACCTTACCTGTGCTGCCAAATGTTTTCCATAGTGAACAACATTTACACAAATGAAGTATTTATTTGTAATAAAAAAAAGTGTTATACATAGCCAGAAATGATTTTCATTTTCATTTTCTGAAGTTACGCTATACAACAAAAATAAGTATAAAATGGAAGTTAAAAATAAGACAGATTACCCATAAATCAATCATCTGAAACATACTGCACACTATTTGAATACATTTTAAGCTGGTTTAAGATCTCAGATTTACATTTATTAATTTAGTTAAGAATTTAGAATTTATATTCAAAGTGACTTACAAATCAGGAGCGTTACATGCAATTTGTTGTTAAACACAATATTCATAGTACAAAGTAAACTGCATGGTTAGTAAATGCTACTCAGTATCAACCACAGCAGCATAGGTTGCATCCAAATGTGCACAAACATAAAGTTGGTCAGCTTATTCCAAATTCTTGCCATCATTGAGCAAAGAAGACATTTGATTATACCAGGGCCTTTAGAGAAAGTGAGAAAGGAAAATATATTCCTCAGATTTCCTTGTATTCTGAAACTGGATTCTGGTCATTTTTCTTGTTAAAATATTTATCTTATATTTTGTGTATATATATTGTGTACATTTTCCACAGTGCATATAAATTAAACTGAATCATGTAAATAAACTGTTTATGTTTCACATTCAACTGATCTATGATTGTGGAGCAACTACAACAAACTATAACAAAATATCTCAATTCATTTTTTCATAACACATTGTTAACTTGAGACTGATTATAAATTGTGATCACCCTCAAACATCATTCAATTTTTTTTAACTTTAAATTGATCTTTACAAAAAAGTTTATAAAGACCAGCAGCAGCACCACCAACAACACCACCAACAACACCACCACCAACTGCACCAGCAGCACCACCAACAACTGCACCAGCAGCACCACCAACAACTGCACCAGCAGCACCAACAACAACTGCACCAGCAGCACCAGCAGCACCACCAGCAACTGCACCAGCAGCACCAACAACAACTGCACCAGCAGCACCAACAACAATAGCACCGATGACAACACCAATTGAAATGGCTATACAAAAAATGTTCTTATACTCTGAAAAAAACTGCTTGAATCCACTGCTTGTTTCTTGGTTTGACTGAGGTTCACACTCTGGTCCAGTTTTCTCCTCTGGTTTCATTACTGCATTGTCTGTTTCCTCTGTTTGTTGCTCCTCTTGTTTTGTCTCATCATTCTTACTTTGTATCTCTGCTTTGGTTTTCTCCTCTGTCTCCTTTCTCACTCTCTCAATCTCCTCTTGTCTTTGTTTCTCCTCGTGTTGTTTTCTCTCCTCTTCCTCTCTTATTCTCTGCTGTTCTTCCTCTTGTCTGCATCTGTGAGCATCTTCATACATCTGATTACTGTAGTGTCCTCCTTCATTCTGCTCTATCATTGTGTCAATCGTCTGCAGTAGATTATTCACCTGCTCTCTGTTATTAATTTTTTTATTATTGAAGACATGATATCTGCCTCCACACCGATCAACTAGATCTCTTAAATCATCACTCTCCTTAATTACTTCTTCTATGGGTTCTTCTTCTAAGGCATCTCCATGAGTGAAGAGAATGATGGAGTATTTTAAGACCTCCTCTCCAAACAACATCTCAATCATCTGAGGAATCTGCTTCTCAACTTCAGTGAATCGTTCATCTACTCTGAGAACAATGAGAAAAGCGTGAGGTCCAGGACCGGATAAATACACACTTCTCGCTATCTCCATCAATAACTCTTCAGGTTCCATCTCTGTGTCAAAGAATCCAGGAGTATCGACTACAGACACAGATCTGCCTGAAGTGGAGTGTGCTTCTGAAGATTCACGGGTTACTGATTTCATTCTCCTCACAGATCTGAACTTCTTCTTTCCCAGTATTGTGTTTCCAACTGCACTTTTCCCAACACCACTTTTACCCAGAAGAACAATCCGTCTGGATGAGAGACTGGAGACAGGAGTGTGTTCTGGCTTTTGGCTCTTCACTACAGTCTGCTTAAGTTTCATTGCTCCATTTACTGTAAAAAGAAAACCAAATGATAATTTACCACTAATGCAATACAAATAATTTTTTTTCAAAAAAAATAAAATGTAAAATTTGGTATAATAAATGCTTACCCGTTTTATTTAAACATGTCTTGAGAATTTTTGTAATCAGCATTTGAACTTGTTTAGTAGGTCCTCTCTTCTTGTTGTTGAACACATGGTATCTCTGATCATATTTCTGAACGAGTTCCTTCAGTGCTTCAGTCTCACTGATGAATTCTGTTATGGTCTTCTTTTCATCCTCCAGTTCGTCTCCTCTGGTGAAGAGAAGCCAGGTTTTTTCCAAGCGGTTTTGTCCCAAAAGCTTCTCAATCTTCTCCACAGTTTTTCTCTCTTCTTCGGTGAATCTGTCTGCTTTAATGACGAGGAAAAACGCAGAAAGCTCTGAATTGCATTTCTGTAAAATACTCTGATATTTCTGCTGTATCTTGTGCTCGTCCAGCTCGGTGTCACAGAATCCTGGTGTGTCATAAACAGTGACTGGAAGCCCACAGACAGTCCCAGATTGAAAATCAACATCTTGTGTGACAGATTTAGGACTTTTCTCTGATTTGAAAGCCGGTCGTCCCAGTATTGTGTTTCCTGCAGCACTTTTTCCTGCTCCTGTCTTCCCCAGTAGCACCAAATTCAAACCTTCAATAATTTTTTCCATCTTCAAGATGTGCTGTAAAACAAAATTAATACATATGTAACTAACAACTCACACTCCAATTGGTGGACTGATTACTAAATGGATTTTTACATTAGTTCTGTTTTTCAAATTTTGTGTCTTCATATTTTATTTTTTAAAAGCTGAGTTTGAGTCCACTGTATGCTGTCCACCATAGCTGTCAGAGTGAAGACAAACTCAACACCAAAGGAATAAAGATGAAAACATAAAATGTTTGAGCATAAATCTAATATAACTGCCCTGGATTTGTTGGAATGAATAAGTTCACTGAAGTTAACACTTTAACAATTTAACAATAACTTTATCAATAACCTGAAACTCGGATAAGAACAGGAACATGGGACAGATCTAACACAGAAGTTACAACAACAGTGTCTGCTCTGAAAGAAATACGTGTGTGTGTAAATGTACTGTATATCAGTTAGAAGGAGAACCCATAGAAGAAGTAATTGAGGAGAATGATGATTTAAAACATCTAGTTGATCGGTGTGGAGGCAGATTTCATGTCTTCAATACAAAAAGAAAAAAAAAGAAAAGAAAAACAGAAATACATATAGGCTACATTTCTTTCTTTTTTAAATATACACACACAAGAGTAGATGAGGAAACTAGGAACTAGAACAATCATGGGCTGATTAGCTGATTAACAGAAAAACTGTTTATGGGGCAAATGTTTATGAGTGTGTTTCGTCAATTTACTGTGGTCTTGTTTGTGGTTTACAATAGGCCGATGATCTATTCAGTGTATATGTATATTCTGTATGAAGATCTAGGACATTTTTTGGAAAATTTCAGTCTCACTTTTGATGATCCTTACTGCGCAGCACATTTTGTTTCTTTTATAGAATGCTTAGGATGTTTGTCAATGGAGGGACCAATGTATGAATCTGTACAGATTACAAAACCCTGGCCACAGATTATTAGATCTCCATTATCTCCTTTGGCCTTAGAGGGGTTCTGTAAAATACAGTAGAAATAGCCTACTGTTAAAAAGTCGGGGTGTAATGAAGCAGCATGTATAACCTCCTCAGTTTTTCATGTCCACTCAAACTAACCTGAGTCCCCAGTGTATTATTCTATTTTTATTTATTTAATTTAATTTACATATTTGCTTAATTAAACACTAAGGAGGTGCACTCATCCATTAAAATAAATAAGTTTGGTAAAGAGATGCATTTTAATTTACATTCGTCTACAAAACATATTTAGGAAAAAAATATGCAGGAACCTATATCAAAAGATCTTTAAGATCATGAGAATGTCAGCTTGCATATCTCGCATCAGGCCACATCATGTCCGATCACACGCGCAAACATGCAAGCGTTCCATACACAAGACTTTATAAACAGGTTATAAACAGAAAAACGCGGCCATTTGTAAATTTAATGTGTCGGACTTCCGGTGTCATTCACTCCCAGCTATTTTCAGCTCGTTTTGCTGCTTAATAGTGCAAATTGCTGTGTCTTACCATAGTTTGAAAATGTATTATCTTAATTATGAACACACTGGTTTGTAGTGCAAGCAGTTTTACAGTTTACTGCGCTTTGTTATTCTTCTGGTTATTTCTCTATGGCTGCTAATGAACCGGAAGTCTCGCACACTCACAGAAAGCGGCTTATTTCCGCTTGAAGAATAAGATAGATAGACTATAGCAGTGTTTTCCAAACAGGTTTGAAAACCACTAGACTATAGAACTCATATAAAGTCGACAGATGTTCGGAAACAACCCTAATGATGGTTATTGTCTGCTGTTGTCAATAATGTGGAAGTATAAGAGGTTGAAGCTAAATGTAATTGTAATTTTATTGTCTCATCTCTTTTGCTCTAAACTAAATTCGAACGAAGAATTTCAACAACAGGGCAGCTAAGGAAACTTTTTAGGTGTCTGGAAATACTAAACTAAAATGCAACGTAAAATGGAGCTTTGTTGGAATATGTCTAATTAAAATATTCGACAAGATACATAGGCCTAATCATTAAACAAAAACAAAATCCTCCACAGCCCTTGCAAACCTTGACGACGCACTTCGGCTGTGGGCTGTAAATATATGCTATCTTACATTCATTTGCACCACAAAAAAACATTAGCCTACAGTTAAGGTAACATCAGATGTATAGGTTACTTAAAACTTACCTCACAGAAAAAAATAACCTGGAATACACATGAATTTTTTGGATCAGACCGAGCGTCGAAATGTCTGGCGTCGATTGAAAGCAAGAAAATACTTTCGTTTTTAAAAAGGCGGAGCAACAGGAATATTACAAGATGGAGTGAGAAAGAGACAGCAGACAAGCACATTAGTAAGCATGGCGAGTTCAGCTCGCATCCGAATCCTTTCAGCTTTACACAGGAGACTGTTGTAGTAGACATATTGTATGCCGCTTCAGGAAATTGTGAAGATTTGTTTTAAGTCAGTGCATTTTTTATATAGGTACAACGTACTGTCTCTCAGAGCTGCTTTACAGCAGAATATGAGCTGTCTCCATAGTTTGAGTTTGCATAATTATTCTGTTATTTTCCTGTTTTAACTGTGAAGCAGCTTTGACAAACGTAGGCTATTGCGATATACAAATAAAGATGAATATATTCATATTTATAAATGTGCATTGTCCCAAACCTAAAGATCAAAATCCATAAAATACACCAAAACAGTGGAGCATTTCACACAGGGCACAGGGTGACATATAATAAGGATGAATTAAATTGCATGTAACCTATATATATATATGGCTATACTATTCTGTACCTGAATATTCATTTATGCCCCACCTGCAAACTTTAAAGCACTGTTTATTTTATTTGCGTCTTTATTCTATTGTATATATTTTTTTATGCTATTGCTTATTTGTTCTTATTTTGTACAAGTAGAATACAATCCTTATCACAAAGCCTTCTCTATACATCACATAATAGCCAACATGATATTAATATGCATGTGATGTGGGAAATCAAAACGGTTCAGTTGTTTTTTCACTTCGAGGGTGTAAATGAAATGTCATCTCTGAGGTAATTGTTATATTTACAGTATGTTAGATATGGTTAAGTTCAGTTAGTAACCAAACATTAAAAGAAATGTGGCTGATGTTATAGTATTTCTCTTACTAAATGAGAGATAATGAAAGCTCAAACAATTCATGAAATAAGTTCACACAAACACTTCTAACAAAACAGACAATTTAATGAGATTTACAGTACAAATGTTTGTATATACAAGGAACAACACAGCAATTGCTGTAATAATAATGCATCATTCTAGGCAATGCATATCAATCTATGATTGCATCTGGAGGCTTTGTAGCTTGATTAAGATCTCCATCATTTTTCTGTCGTTTATATGAGTCAGTTCTGCCTCCTGTCTGGCCTCTCTGAGTTTGGTTTCATAATATCGTTTGTACTCCATCATTTTACACATGTTCCTCCAATTTATTCTTTTTAGCTCTTGTATCTTTTCTTCTTTCTCCTGCTCTGATGCTGTTAGAGCTTCAATCATCTGCTGTAATCTCCCCTTTTCTTCAGTAAATCTGGACTCTAGTTCCCTCTCTTTTTCTTGTAGTTTCTTCTCATAGTGTTGCTTCAGCTCCTCTTCTTTAGCTTTCAGCATGAGCTCCACACCCTGGTAAGACTCACTGGTGTAAAATCCACCTCCAGTAGCAGCGATCATGCCATCTACTTTCTCCAGGAGCTCCAGAACTTGAATACGATCCTCCATGTCTTTATTATTGAACACATGATATCGTCCCCCACAGCGCCTCAGGATTTCTTTCAGGTTCTCACCAGCCTTACTCATGTATTCTTCAATAGTGCCGGTCAGTTCATCACCATGGGTGAAGAGGATGATTGTGTGTTTATCTGCGGTTTCTCCGAATATGGCTCTCAATTTTTCCACAGACACCATCTCCTCTTTTGTGAATGGACCGAGCTGAATGACCAGGATGATGGCGTGAGGTCCAGGTGCTGTCATATTCACACATTTACTGATCTCCTGTTTCAGATACTCCTCTGAGACGTCTGTGTCAAACAGACCTGGAGTATCTACCAGGGTAATTTCTCTTCTAGCCACTTCTGCAGTCTCTTTCCAGCATTCTTTGGTCACAGATGAACCACTACTGGCGGCTCTGAAGACTCTCCTGCCCAGGATTGTGTTTCCAGAGGAGCTTTTACCTGCTCCAGTCTTTCCTACCAGCACCATCCTTCTAATGGACACTGAAAAGTGTGAGAGAATTAAAAGCTCATTTTCAAGATCAAACGGAATAATAGATTGCTTAGTAAATTAAGTAAAATCAAAGCAAACTGCATTTATTGTGACCATTTGTATACTGTATATACTCACTATTTGGATGATCTAAATCGAAGCTTCGCCTTCTTCCTACAAAAAAAGAAAAGGAGAGAGCGAGAGAGATTACATTCATTTCATTTATTTTTTATGTTGCTAATTAAAATACTCAAAATATTTGATTGAAAACAAAGACTAGATTAAATTATTTAGGAAACATATTCCTATATATAACACTACAATAGTCTGGTTACAATAGTACTTTTTATTGGTCTTTACATATCACTTAAAGGGACATTCCACCGAATGGGTAACATTTGCTTTTGCAACTTTTAAAAATTAAACTTAATTTTTAGAATCTTTTTTCAACACTGTATCTAACAACACACATATTTCACTGTTCGAAATGTACATTGGTCAATCTCGGGCACCTTTAAAAAAAAACATTGATTGGATATAAAGTCACACATAAATTAAAAAAACAACATTTCTTTAGGATTTGAATCATAATATTTAATGGTAAATTATAGAGGCAGGGAGTGGGGACATGCAACAATACTATTTCTTTAGTGTTCTAGGTAGTTTTTATTAATGATTTTAATTATACATTCTAAATTTTGCAGTTAGCTAAATGTGAAGACACTTTGCTCAATAATAAAATAATTTTCATGCATTTTTATACTTTTAATGTCCTGGGGACAGAAATGTTACCCATTCGGTGGAATGTCCTTAATATTTTTTTCAAGCGTGAAAAGCCCAGCTTTAAGGTTTGTTTCAAAGGAATTCACAGCACGTATATTGATGCGATTTCAAACATACTTGATAACATAATATTTGCAATCGCATTGCGTTCCGCTAAAATAAACGATTATTATTATTTTTTGTGAAATGACAATACGACGTGGAATCAACAACGAAGAAAGCTGAAATAAATGTAAGTAAGCTATTTTCAGATATAGACTAGTAGGCCTACTTCACATTCAAATCGAAAGTAAAACGAAAGTACAAGGTAACATTCACGTGTGTCTACTTAAGCGACACAATGAATTCATTCAAAGGTAATCTCGAATCATTCCTAATGGCAGAAAGTTACCTTGTGTCACTACTGCGGTGCTTGAGGAGGCCATGCTTGAGACTGACAGCAGATCACAGCGCCGCTCGCGCAGGTTAAGCTGAATCTCTCCACTGAGAACACGCCCGGAAGCAGGAAACAGGCCAAAGAAACTAAAGGACGTCATAAGTATAATTTCTGCCCTGTGTCGTAAAATCTGCGTGAGCCTGAAAATATGACATCAAGGTAACGTATGTAGGCTATGCAAGTATGTATTTGTTGTGCACTGAATAAATGCTCAAAGCATGAAAGCACAGAAAGCAAGCTTGTTTTAAAGTCACTCAATTGAGCACTAATTCT